TAAAATGATCGTACAACCTTGAAATACACTAAGTTTGAAGACTGATTCAACATCAAATCATGCACATATTAAATGGTACTAAACATAAAGTTGACGCCTTTAGAAAGTTTCGTGTTATACATGGTCCTTTAGATGAAAAAGAGAAAAGAGAACTAATATGTTCAAAGTGAGAGAGAGAACATTTTTATAAGTTATCAATTTGAAACTTCAACAATTCACATACTAGTAGCTTAAGGTACGGCAAGACTGAATAAATACGACCTACTGCTGCCGGGATAGGCTCAATGAGTTTATTCTATTTTGATGAAACTTATACAATATGTGCCTCTATTTAGATAAATAATCCCGAAGTTTCAGCCTTACTGGACATATCTCGTTGTTGAGGTATACATTCTTTTCTAGAAGTACCCATACTTCAACAACACCTAAAACGAAACTTTTAAAAATATATTTTTCATTAACAAAACATTTCCGAGACAAAATCTTCTAGATATATGTAGTACTTGTTGTCCTCTACACGCCTGTATGAGTAATTTTTTAGTCGTATCATTTGTAGTAAGTTTATTTTCTAATGTTACGTGAGTATTTATGATCTGTTAACTCAACTTCATTATCAAATGTTTGTACACATGGATCATCAGGACAAATATAGAACATCTACACTTGACGCTCATTACATTGTCAATCTGTTATTCGATCAGTTGTGTCCAATGGATCGAACTGTTCATTGAATTTCATATTGGATTTAACATTTATATTTTAATAGTGAACTAATTGTCCAATCCCAATGTGAAATACTTTTCTAATTGTCATACTATTAGGGGCGGCATTTACTTTTACTTTCCATAGAAGTTTTCTTTCTTTTTTACATAAGTCTGTACCTCTGAAAAGATTAATGGATCCCTTTGATAGCATAAAATACAGTTGACAGTAAAGAAAAAACAAGAAAAAAGTATTTATATTTAGGCAAAATATGATCAAGACAAGCCGGTATCGATCGGTAAACCGGTCACCGGTATACCGGCTGGTACCCGTACGAAGTTTGTATACCGGTGACCGGTACCGGTATCGCATTTTTGATACCGGTTACATCCCTGGGCCTACCTCAAAAACACATCAGACCTAGGTAATCAGCTATGTTGATCACCGTGGCAATGTTTGTTTTGGTGTGCAAATCAAAATAAGGTGGAAAGTAAAAAAAGGCTGAAAACCGATTTTGACCTTATACTTGCATAAATTAAAAACTCTCTGGCTCGGTCATTCCAACTTCAATATGGCTCAAACTTTCAAAAGGTACTCAGAACAAGTCAGGAACTATAAATCCAGCAATAAAAACCGGCTGAAACTGTACCGATTCAACAAGGTTCTTCGGGAGGTTTCTGGGAAACCGTCTACAGTTAGTGACTTCTATTCCATCTTCTTCCAACCTAACAATGATTTTAGTCTGTTCTGAGTTCCTTTTGAAAGTTTGAGCTATATTGAAGTTGACATGACTGAGCCAGAGAGTTTTTAATTTATGCAGCACATGGGGAAATTTTAGTAGGTACAGCGGTGTGTACACGCGTGAATGTCGTGAAATGAATTGTGATCGCACGTGAACATCGTAAAATGGTGTGTGAGCACGCGTGAAAAATATTCCAGTTGTGACAACGCGTGAACTGGTCACGAAAATGTTTCACGTCATATCTTTTGCACGTGATCACACGTGAAAATGTTTCCCACTAATTTCATTGTGAAAAACATCTTCACATTTATTCGCACGTCAGTTTTTCACGCAACCCATTTCGTGAATAATATTCACGCTTAATTCTTACGTTTCACGCGCGTCCACGTGAGAAACCTTTTACAGGTGCGAAATGTCGTGAAGATTGAGCGGCCTATATCTTTCGAAAGTTGTACATACATACAGATGAAAACCTTTGATGTAGACCGAAGGTATTTGCTGTAGGAATATACCTGGGAATCATCTTGTTCCTCGGGAGGAAGTATTAACTAAAAAAGTTTGGAAAAGTTGGAAACTAAGAAAAAAGATTTAGGAAGTTCACGAGTAATCACGCGTGGGAACTTTCTTACACGAGGGAACTCGTGAGGATTGATTCGACAACTATGAATATGAGATTTATTCAGTAGTTTCTCAGGCAAGTTAGCTCAATAGTAGTATCATAGATTTCTAATTCAAAGTACTCTGGTTCGACTCTTACTTTGCGGTGATATATATAAAATGTGATATTTTAGAAACTAGTGATCACACGTGGAAACAGTTATAGATGAAGTTGCATTGATGAAATCTGCATTATACCTTGACCATGGTGACCATGTATAGTCAGTTGACTATAGATGGCCGGCACGGTCAAGATTTTTTCACACGTAATCACGCGTGAAGATTGTTCACTTGTGTACACGTGTGAAGATTTTTCACGCGTAGCCACGTGTGTGATGTTGCAACAACACGTTCCCATGGTAAAAAGAGTCTTTCTGTTGAACAAGAGTCGGATGTTATCTTTCTCATTGAGAAATACCAAAACTGGAAAGAAAACTCTTTTTAGTCTAATTTTAATATGTTCTATATGTGTTTGTTGTTTCAAATTCAAGTATTGTATGAATACCAGTACACGACCAAACTGTCGTGAAACTTGCTGTCTTTACCTACAAAATTTCGTGAAAGTCCAAGCTGACATTTCAGGGTCCGTGACGCGTGAAAAGTCGATGTCCACATGGGAGGTAAAAGGTCAAAAACCGATTTTCAGCTTTTTTTCACTTTCTGACCTTATTTTGATTTGCACACGAAAACAAACATTGCCATGGTGATCAACATAGCTGATTACCTAGGTCTGATGTGTTTTTGAGTTAGGCCAAGTTGACCAAAATGAAACAGACCTGTCCTCGGAAAACGCCTGTAACTCCGAAACCTTGAGAGATAAAAACTTAATTCTTTCGGATTTGAAAAGAGGACACTCAGATGTACAGACTCATATAAAAAAGAAAGAAAAATTCTATGGAAAGTTTCGAAACTACGGGTAATTTTCGAAAGATCCTCCGGAAGACCAGATTTTCAACTTTTGGAAAAAGAAGTTTTCGCTTGCCAAAAGACGTCTTCAAGTGTCTGAATTCAAAAACTGGAAACCACAAGCTTCTGATACTCTTCTATCAAAACTTAATCTCGAAATCGCCGGGGACACTGCTTTTTGGTACGGTTAGTAGTAACTAGTAACTAATCTAGTTACTTCGTTACTGTGCTGAAGGTAACGAAGTAACAAAAATGTTTTTTATGGGAAAGGCATGTTCAACTTCTGTTCGATATTCTCTGTCGTTCTAACATATAAGTCTTGATAAGAAAAGGTGAGGCATCGTCACCTTGCCTCCTTTTAGTCGAAAATAAGTGATCTGTTCTTGATCTAACTTCTCCATTGGCAAAACCGTTAGACGAGAGGAAAAGAATGATAACGATCAGGGATCCCAGATCCAAAACACGAAAATCAGAGAATAAAAGTTCAAAATCAGAAAAACCTGGGTAAAAGACGTAGAAAATCAGAGACCTTAGGGCAAAAAAGGGTAGAAACGAGGCAGAAAAGTTCCAAAAATCAGAATCTCTCTGCCAAAATCAAAAGATCTCGGATTCCTGATAACGACGTTCCGACAATGAATATTCAAGGCTTTTCTTATAAATTCTATAACTTTGCAAAGAAAGAGCGTGTGAAACGTGGTGTCTCATAAAACCGGATCTTCAAAGGGTTTTGAGGAATCCCCATGGTTATATTCGGAATCAGCATGGTCGATTACCTAAAACCCACTATATTTCGATTAAAAACTGATTTACCACCTCTGGTGGTTCCATAAAAATTACAATCTTCAATATTCGTCGATTCAAACTATGTTTCAGGAATACACAATTGCACACAATTGAACATAACGTCTCGCAAACCGATCACAGTTTAAATCTACATTCCGATCGTCTATAGCAATAACTAAATGGATGGACCATCTCATTCGAGATAGTATACGAAGCAAGGCTGAGGATGATTGTCAGAAAAAATTAAATAAAAAAACGGCTTACTGCATTGCAGGCTAATTCTAAATGATATTGGTGGTTAGATTAAAACAGGAAAGAATGCTTGATCTTTCAAGTAAAAAAACTAGATAGATTCGCAAAATGAACGGCGTTCATTTGAAGGGTTGTCCGTATTTTAAGAATTTTCCTGTCTTTTTAACCCTTTATCTACCCCAGCGGTTCCAGAAGAATCAGTCACTGATAAAATCATCACACGAACAGAATATTGGTCTTCCCAATATGTCACTAGTATGAACAGATTGATCAGGTGGACTGTCCTTCGTGCAGGAAAGTTGGTCATTCTAGTGACTGTTGGAGAAAGGAAGAGACAGAACGACTTGAAAAAATCCAACCTTTTTTCTTTTTACGACAGTGTTGTTTTTGTCACAAATGACATCTGTTTTTTTATTTGACTAATATGCACAAACAAAAGCTAAATACATGAAAAAATATTTTCTTAAGAACACATTTAGAAAAAGCATTTGGCTTTATTTAAGTATTTAATACCATCGATGACAAATTTTTATCAATAATAAATATTGTTTCAATTTCTAACGTGATAAGATTTTAAGTAATATATGTATGATATACGTCATTCCCCGCTCCCTCCTCCGTTGGAATCACTCCAGTGTCCATTTTATGCTTTACCATCTCCTATCCGCCTATCTCCTGTAAAACTTTTAATACGCACTTAATTCACTAGCAGACATTTTCATCGATATGTATCACACAGCACGTCCTCAACATGCTTATTGTCTGTAGAAGACAAAAAAGAACTTTTAAAAAAATTTTCATTCATTTCAGTTTTTCGCTATTTGCAAATCATATATTCCAGAGACAGAGCAATGAAACAAAATATTCTTTTTACCAATCGATAGCTTATGGAATTATCTTGCTCTAAAAAGCAATCGATTATTTATCACATGCTTCATTATCTTTTTATAACAATTCTATGAATGTGTCATGGGTGACTCATTGGTAGGTGAGGGTTAAGTTTATATTCCACCAAATTTTTTGTGTTGTATTCAGGTTTTCACTGCGGAATCACATAAAATTAGTTTTGGGAGATAGAAATCATAATAAAGGTTAAAACTTCGCTTATTTTCAAAATTTAAAATTCACATTATCCTATGCAACTCGATGAGCCCTATCAAACCACGGCAGATAAAACGACAAAAACATTTTGCTCAGATTTCTTGCATTGCCCGCACCTTACATCATTCGGTCATCCTACGGAAACAGACGCAATAATTCTAAATTATACAAGAGAAAGTCATAAATGGTGGATATCATTAATTTCAAAATACTTTAATTGTGATAAGCACCATGTACTTCATATCGACAAAATACTGTGTGTATAATGTCCCTTATATTAGCTTCAAGTTAAGACTGCCTCGATCTGAACAAGATGTTTCTTTTATGAAGAAATCGTGCAACTATGAAGCATGAGAAAGAAGAAATATCATTTCGGGATAAGGTGACGCTTGTATAAGATACATGTTTTGGAGCTCTTACGAGGAAAGGACTCCAACTGGCAAATCGCTTTTGAACCGTGAGCTAGTGGACAATAGGTAATCAAGTATGCTGAACCCGAATATGGCAATCATTTGGGCCGCTAGCCCTATTGAGACCCGATTTTTAAAAAAACAGTTTTCTAGCCAAAAAACTTTTTTCCCGAAAAGTGTTGTGGCCTAGAAAACTGTTTTTTTAAAAATCGGGTCTCAATAGGGCTAGCGGCCCAAATGATTGCCATATTCGGGTTCAGCATACTTGATTACCTATTGCCCACTAGCTCACGGTTCAAAAGCGATTTGCCAGTTGGTGTCCTTTCCTCGTTAGTGTAACGGTCTAAGCTTTTGGTCAAACCATCGTTGAAAGTTGGAAGGTGTCGAATTTTAACTTGATATGTCTACCCTGCAAACTTAGCTGCATTGAAATCTTTCTTGATTCTGACATTTTATTTAAATATTAGAATGTCATAAAAATCCGTTTTTTAGGTTTTCAGAAAACTTCTTCAAGAATACTTAGAATCCTTTGATATTAGCACAAACAGTAGATATCTTGGTTTATTGAACCATGTGCTGAGATCAATATCGACTTCTTAAGAAAAAATCTATTTGTTGAAGGATAGGGTCCAGAGATCGTCTCTCTGAGACTTCAGGCAAAGTTCATGTGTTTCAACAACGCATTTTGAAAAATTATAAGAATCCTGTTGTTTCTTGTGTACTTTATTCAACGTGATATAATAGACATAAATAAAAAAGACAGTGCCTTTTCTGTAAGAGAACAATCGTGAACGATTTTTTCACTATTTAATTATTGATGAATTCCTTACGGATTATACTTGAGCAAATGACTGCGCATTTTGTTACACTATTTCAAGAGTATCCATTCATCAAACAGAAGAAAAAAACCTCATATAAAATTAATACGATGAATAAGTGTGATCTTATGATATTATTGTGTTACTCGATCCCGTTTCTTTTTTTACTTGTAACAAATAAATATTACTAGGCATGGTATAGAGAAAAAAAAGAAAAAGTAATCATTATTATCAGATCATTTCTCACTTTTATTCACACTATGGTATATAAAATTGGTACGTTGAATAATAAGTCAATAAAAAAAACGCTTATGATATTTTTTTTTTAAATTGAATATCAACATCCTACCTGAATGTGTCCGCCCCTCCTCTATATAATCTTATTATATATACGTAATTAAAATTATTCATTCTCAATTTTTTTTTGCACTATCTATCAAAACGTTACCTGATATAAATACTTACTACAAATTGTATTTTTTTGTAGTTGATTTCTATTTTAATATTTTTTCGATATATCAATCATGAAGATTATACTTGTGTTGGTGTCTGCTTTGGTACTATTTGCAACTGCTCAAGCACTCCTCTTCAGTTGTAAGCATCACTTTGAGATTATTTAATGATAGATTTGATTTAATTGATACTATGATGAACTATTCTTTCTAGCAAGTTCAAAATGTCCAATTAAACGGTATAAAAGTGGTAAATATTTTCTTGGTGATAAGCTAGATGTTCAAGAAACTATGCATGAGAGAATAAAACTTCTGGAAACATTAGCCAAAGATTGCCAAGTTCTTGTCCATGTCAAAGGCAGTTATTATCAACTGCAGAATCCAGCAGCACAAGTTCCCATTTCTGATTCTAATTTGGTTATTGGACACGGTTTCGCATTTGAACTTCGAGATGCACAAGACAGAATGTTGTGCAATAGTGTTTGTCTAAACAAAAGTATGTAATTGACACTTTTGTATCGAAAGTTAGATTCAGACTATCATTTGTTTAGATCCGTTGGATATCGCGGAAGTGAAATGTTTTATTTCGGGAGCCATTAATCGTGGTTGGACTTGGTCACGTACGAATCCAACTGTTTTAAGTGACGGCTTTTATGAAGCAAATCCGAGCACTTATCAAAAAACCAAAACTCAAATTCAAACAGATTGTCAAAATGTTAAACTTAAACGACAAATGATGCTCGCATTGCGTCGATTATATGACGATGAAACGAACGTAGAATAAATTTGATCAGTTAGAATTTTTTCATATTTTTATTATTACTAACTTTTTTTACACAAAAGATTATTATTACAGAAATTTAAAAAACTTAAGGTTTCAATATTTGAGAATAATATTGACAATAATATTGACAGTATTAATATTGATAGTAATATTATTGAAATCGGAGGTAGACACTTGAGAAGGTTCCCTAGTCAGTAAAAATATTATAAATACTATGCAAATAATGATTTATCAAGTGATAAGTAATAAAACTTATTAGTTATTACCAGAAAACACGTAATAAATCTTGTTACTTTATTACTTATCACTTTTTCAACCAATAATCTTTTATTACTTTATTTATTACTAATAAGAAGAAAAGTAATAAAAAGTAATAATCAAACTAATAAAAAATTATTATATATTCATACAGTTACGTCTACTCGTCTTTAACCTGAGAAATGAGGGAACCTTTGTTTCACAATCAAATTCAAATCAAGTGAGAAAAAGAATGATAACGTATTTCCTAATAAGGAAGCAGTCTGTCAAAACATTGTATCGGAGCGACTAAATCTAGTATTGCAAGAAGAACAAAGCAAGAAAACTTGTTCGTAACCGCATGAATTAACGTTAATACTTAGGCTTCAACTAATATAAGGATATTAACAAGTAGTATGTGATTATAAAGCTGCTGATTGGGATGGATATCGTCGTGAGCTCTCGGAAACTAACCGGTATCAGTTAATTCATGGATGATCTCTCGGCGAAGCTGCTGAACATATTCAAAATAGAATAATTGAAGTTGCGAATTTTGGACGTAGTAGAAGAGGGTAGTTAGAAGTCAGAGAAGTAGTTGGACGTATCTTGAGATTCGGAGGGATGAATAGTTTTGTGTGCACCTGTACCATATGAACCCCTCGTATAGTTGTCACGAAAGTATTTTGTTTCTTATACACTTCCAAGATAGAACTTACATTGCCGCTCCACAGCTGTTTATCTTCAGAAGAAATCTCTTGCTGGCAACGGTAACATTTCATTATTTCTTTCGATACTATATGTACAATGAATCTAATGTAAATTTACCTAGTTCGATTAAATGAAGAAAATATTTTGAAGCATGAAAAAGTAAATAAACAGAAAGATGTTATATAACTAGAGAAGTCTTTACACAATACTGTACTCTAGCCTCTTTCTACATTGTATACTCACTGCAGGTGAATTTTGAAAAGTCAAAAATAAAGATCATACTTTAACTACCGTGCAAAAATAACCAACCTTTAGATAGTACTTACCTTTGGTACAAGATAAGAGCTTTTTTAAGGTTCCGTAGGCTTTTCTAGCAAACCTTAAAAAGAATCTTATTCTGTATCTCGAAGACATAGCAGGCTCCTTCTTTTTTATAGTGAGATGTAAAGGAAACTATAGTTGCTTTCGCGTTGAGTCTTTTATATTTTTAACTATGCAGAAAAAGAGAATTTTCCCAGTGCTCTTTTCTTTTCAGACATCCTAACCCTTTGAGTCCCAAATTTTTTTGCTGGTTTGAATGTAATTCGTAATTCTCAATTTTCTCCACCAGAACTCAACTTTTATGCAATGAAAATATCATATTCGGAATCAGGATGAAAGAATGAATCGACTGATGTGTATCCCTATTCTATTCGAGTACTTTAGTTTTTTTCGAATTTTCACGTTGAAAAATCATCAAGATTTTCACCTAAAACTGAAATCAGCTAAAAATTTCGAAATACAGATCAGTCGACTGAGTTTTTGATCCTAATACTAAATATGATATTTTTATTATATAGAAGTTGGGTTCTGATCGAGAAAATTGAAAACTACGGACAGAATTCCGACTTTCTCGCTACTGATTTAAGATGCTCGTAGGTCAAACTCAGAATGAGATTTCTTTTTGACTTTATTATATATATTCTGAATCGCCAGGTCGAGCTGATCACGAATATCACCTTTCTAGGTCGAAAAAATGAAATCTTGATGGAGAAAAATGCGAAATACTGAGACGAGGTCGAAAAGCTAAAAACTGTTCTTTTTCAGAAAATGGTTTACAATTTTTTTCCTTTACGTTTTTACTTATTTTCATTAATATTTTCAAGTTCTACGTTGAAAACTGATTCTAGAGAGATCTCTTTCAATGACGTTTAGTCAAAACTGAAATTTTGGCTGAGCTCAGAACTGGCTAAGCTCAGCGGTCGATACCCTCAGAAATTTCACTCTGAGTTTGACCTACGAACATCTTAGAAAAAACGAATTTTCTCAGCAACGAAACAAAATTTGAAAAAAAACGAGTTATACTTTTGAAGCCGACACTTCAGCAAATATTATGGGATGTAAATGATAGTTCGAACCCTTAAGAAAAGAATGGAAATGAAGACTTATATGATCCTTAGATAAATTAAATATATTTGATTTAATAAAATCGTTTTCTCCTAGTTTGTTTTAGAGACAGTGCCACATAAGTGCATTTGCTATTTATTAGCTAATGCTCCATTGCTTCATTCCAAGAGATTACGTACTAATTTATATAAATTAAGTTGTGAAAAATAGTTATAAAACACGTGTAAACGGAAGAAGTATGTACGAGAAGGTAAGTTTTTGAAATGCAGTAAAAAATTACATTTTGAAACGAGAAATGAAAAGTTAAATAATAGAGAGATAGTACATACATTTATATTTTTTAAAATTTGTTTTGAATTAAAACGTTCAGTTTCATTGATGTAAGTGATAACAGATTTGTGTATTTTATTATAGTGATCGAAAGAGAGAGAAGTAGTCTTTAAAAGAAGGAGCTACAATTCAGAACTACAATTTTCTGAATTAATTGAATTCTACGACTTTCTGCTATTTCTACATATGATTGCCATCCTAATACTTTAATTAATTTATCTTTACTAGTAAACTGTAATGCGCCACTTACAATCTTTACTGCCTCATATTGCATACGTTCTAATTTAGCTAAATTTTCTTTTATCGTTCCGAAATACACTTCACATCCGTATAAGATGACTGGTGAAAGAAGAGACTGATATATTTGATAGAGTGTTGATGTGCTAAATATTCTTTTAAATTTCTTCATCAAAAATAGTATTTTATTGCATTTCTTAATCACGTATTCGCAATGTGTACTCCAATCTAAAGTGGATGTTAGAATAACCCCTAAATGTTTATGTTTGTTTACT